ATTCCAGGGGATCTGATAGCCTCCACTAGCATTGCACAACACGGGTGCACTTCCTACCTGCAGGCATAACACTCATACATAAAAAATAAAAATAAAATATTTTTTTAAATGGGTTTAAAGATTTTAATCTTTTTTCCGTTTGTCCATGGGGCAAGGCGCCTTAAATTCTTTAAGTGCTCTGCAGCCACCATGCCATTTTAACGCCCTTGTTTTTTTTGTTGTTTATTTTTTGTTACAGGCAAGCCAATTTGAATTCTTTAAACACTCCAATTGTCACCCAACTGGTTTAGCCTAAGCCTGAATGCCCTGAGGCAAGATAGCAAAACGGATAAAGAAATTTATCTGCTCTTTTAGGTGCTTGAATTCAATGTGTATGAAATATCCCTGCACACAGAACTTTGGGGATTTCTTGTTTTTAGGGGTGTTGTCCAAGATAGAAAAGGAAAGAGGGGTGAAATGCCAAGTCCTAGGGGAATATCCCTGAGACTCGAAGATCACAGGGTATTCCTAACTAGTGCAGAGTGCAAGCCTGACCACAAATTTCAGAGAACAGGTGACCACTCTAAGAGCATTTAACTGGTCATTGTGTAACCGGGTTTTGCATTAGACAGACTATAAATAGGACATCGGAGTCCATTCGGAGGACTAGGAGCCCTCGGCTAACATCAGGAAGTGGCCCTGATCAGAAAGCTTCAATTGTCCTTTCGTCTTTAACGGTCCCACGCGAAGACTCAGACTGAAAGTAAAAGGGGGCAGGGGGGGGCTGCCGATCCTCAGGGTGGGATGGCCAAGGCAAAAATGCCACTACCCTCTTGGAGAGGGGGTACTTAAAAATCCGGGCATTCCAGGAGCCTCACATTGGGCGACAACTGTGGGTCTCTCTTGTCCCTCACGGTCGTTGGCCAGCAATCTGCGAGAGCATAGAGAGCAGAGGCAGCCAGCAGGGTCAGGAAGGCCCTGAGTAAGACAGAAAAGACCTTCTGGCAGTCAGCTTCACTGAGACAGCTCATTTATTTAGTGGGGGTAAGGGGAAAATATAGGGTGAAGATGGCAGCCAAAGCTTCATAGGTGTTCATAGTATGCTTTATTTGAATGTGGCAGGAGGACCGTATCATGTAGAGAGGAAAGGCGAGATTGCCTGGCTACTGTAGTACAATGCCTAATTATCATACAGGAAAAAAACCAAGGGGCAGTTCTTGTAGGTAACTATGCCAAAGGTCATGTTCCAAATAAGGTCAGGCATCTGTACTTGGAGACACTTTCCGAATAAGGTCTGGCAGAGAGTATGAAGTCCCTGCTGAGAAAGGGAGCTGACCTTAATAGCAGGGTTCCCCAACAAATATGATCAAAGTACATTATATATATATGCATGAAGGCACCAAAATAAAGCAAATTGTCTACTATAATTAATATATGCAAATATAAAACAAACACAATATAATATTATCTGTCATATATAACATATGTATTAATATTATGTCAATACATATAGAGATATAAATGCTAATTATCATGATTCAATAATTACATGTATATAATTGTCACCTTGAATATGTATGGAATTATCATTCTCTATACCTAGCTATGCACAATTAAAATAATTTTTAAAGAACAAATTAGTTTTCTATTATTGTTAGCAAAATTTCTTAACATTGACATTATAAATGAAGAAATAATTACTTTTGAATTCTTTTGAGTGTCTTCTTTTATGCTCTCTTCCCATGAAGGCAATCATGCAAGCTTTTTTATTTCCATCATGGAGTTGATTACTGAAAAGTTTATATTGCATATATTTTATATGACTATGCATAAGTATGTACAAATATTTTTGTAATTATATTTCTGTTTTTAAACATGCATAAATATATATACAACTATTTATTGTTTTCTTTGTTACAAATTCCAAGCATTAGTAAATAATAGTAAGTCAACAAATTGCAGTCCCTGCAACTCAGGGGTGTGTGTGTGTGTGTGTGTGTGTGTCTGTCTGTCTGTCTGTCTATCTGTCTAATTGAAGAGTTATAATCTATAATGGCCTATCAAGTAGTAAGTTCTAGAATAGAGGTAAATAACAGAGTTCCATGGGAATGTAGAAACAGATTCCCCTGCCCAATATTTGTGGATGAAGAATGTCTGGATGACATTCCTCAAAAGAGACTATGCCGAAATCTAAAGATGAAGGAGAGGAAAAAGTAAGGAGAGGGGAAAAGGACAGTGGGCTGAGAAAGCATCATGTTTTCTAGTGGACCTTAATATATACTACAAACTGGAACTAAATCCCCCTTAGTATCTCATGTGGCTTCCTGAATTACCTCTAGTAAATCAGAACTTAAGGTATTCCTAAAAAAGCAGGGCCATGTTTGCCTGATCTGCTGAAATCTTAGCAAACTCTTTCAACTTTCAAAGATTAGTAGAATTTTTGTTTCTCCAAAGACTTAAAACAAATCTTCTTCAATTACAGTAAAATATAAAAAGAATACATTCCACAGTTTCCTGCTTGTATTTAAACAAATGTGAAGAATCACAATCTGCTTTTTATTTGCTAATGATATTAATTCAATTTGCCTGAGGATAGCAAAGCCCTTGTTTCCATCTTGATCCTTATGAAAACATATCTCTATTGTCTCTTTTAAAAGTTAAAAGTTTAGTGCCTACTGATGGCAATCAGGATAGAGTGGAAATTAAACACTAGTACATGAAAATGTATAAGTATACATTTTAATATATTTTAATGTTTCCTTATGGATTCAATGTAACTCCAGTTAGTTGTATTGTGAGCTTGATGGAAAAGTGTCAGATTATCAGTTTATATTGTTTTTTCTCCAAGAATAATTATTTCTTCCCTATTAATGCTAAATATTTCAGCAGTAATATAGAAATGAAGATGCTAAAAATAATCCACATTCAAACTTCAGGCAGTAAATTTCATGAAAACTAAAGGACATGACTCAGGTCTTCATAAAGGTCAGAGGGTGTGATTTGTATATTAGACCATTCCACAGGGCAAGAAGCCTTAGTCAAAGACCACAATAAAACTTTCCTCTATATGGCTGATGAATTTTTAAAGAACCTGAGGGAAGTCTTTTGCCATCTTAAGCCTCTTTATCTAACCCAAACTGTGTAATCATTTGTGCTGCAAGTTTGGCTCAAGAGCTTTTATACCTTTAAGCTATCATTCATCATTTTTGTTTCCTAAATCACTTCTAATCAAAGACCCTTTGGCTGTTTGCATTTGTTAAAGTTCAAAGTCAATGCTACATGAATTTAAATGCAATGTTTGATTTTAGTGTTTGTCCTTTTAGCATTAGATGATGTCTGGATATTAAGAATCTGTGTTAATTTAATCAAGGTATGAATAATCAATCCCAGTCATTGTTGAAGGGTTTGTATATAAGGAGGGAGGGACTGCATCATTAGCTGAAGTAGGCATCCAGAGAAGCAGAGGCCTGTTTCTGAGGAGATTGTAAGTACAGCTTTTGAAGGGCAAAATTGCTTGAAGTCATTGAGTCTATTTCTTTAACTGCCATGATATGTGTGTCTGTTTGATTTATTGATTATTCTTCCAGAGTTTGCCTTACTTTCTTTTTCTTGTTCATATGTACATGAAATTCTTAATTATTTAGTGATGAATTTGTGTATTATTGTCCATGATTTGCCTAATGTGAAAGTTTATTCATTCATGTTCTTTTGAGAAGCAGTAAATCTAGCATCACAGAAATCATGATGTTTGATGAATCGAGCACTGTAGCATATTCCAAATCAAATGCTATGGAAATGGCCATCATCATGGGCATTGCTCAACTTCACAAGTATTTCTTCAAATTAAACCCCATGAAAACAGAAGTTTGGATCACATTACAGAGAGCTCTGGGGGGGAGGGATATCCATCCCTAACCAGTTTCTTATAGAAGCTGCTTAAGGCATCTCTATGAAGCATTATAGTGGAGAAGAATGCAATCTTTGGAACAGCCAGCCAGTTTTAGATTCAGGTTCGGCTGCTTTCTATGTACTTACTGGGTCTTCCTTTGCTCATCTACAAAGTGAAGAATATGATGCCACCTCCTTAACAGGGTTGATACAGGAATTAAGTGGAATTATAGCAATAATTACATTTATCTAGTGTTTGCAATGTTTGACATGTTAAAATGTTTTGCTTTCTTTATCATAATGAATATTTATAGCATAAAGAAATAGACTTCTGTTAGCCCTATTTTTCAGAAAACAAAAATGTTTTGTGAAAAGAGCTCACTTGCACATTACATTTTGATTATCCTGTTGAACGTATAGTCAACACTACATAACTGCCAGTTACTGATGTTATCCTAGAGTTCGATATCAGATATTTTGAGGAATTTAATCCTTCCCTAAGTATTTTGGAGCTCCTCTTGTGACTTTTGTCATTGGGACATCCTAGAACTCCAATAATAGGTTAAGTGTTCTCACTTTACAATATCCGATTACTTAATAAGACAATAAAGGGTAAAAAATGTGAGATCCTGAATAGTTTCACCCAAATATTCTGGTTTGAATGTTAAGATGCTGCTGATTAATCTTTATATGCTGTCTTATCCAGTCCTAATTTTTCATTAAAAAGAGAAGGCTTAGAGTCTATTTTCAGAGATATTATTACATCTAATTTCTATACTAAGCAAGTGACTAAACTATGAGAACAGAGAGCTGGAGAGATGGCTCAGCAGTGAAGAGCACTGGCTGCTTTTGAAGTGGACCTGGGTTTGGTTCCCAGCACCCACATGGCAGTTAACAACTGTCCATAACTCCAGTTCCAAGGGAACCAATAGCCTCTTCTGATCTCCACAGGCACTGAGATAAATTTGAATATATCCGTATGTATCCATATTACTCAGTCTATTGTTCAATAGAATATAAGCAAATTCAAGTATTTCTCCGCTTGGAATATATACAACACTGTCACAAAATGTGCGTGCTTTGGAAGTGTTGACCTCAATATGGGTTATGCCTTTGTTTCAGGTCAGTCCAAAATGTGGCTACTTTTAAGAGTGGCAAGTCTGATATCTGTGCTTGGAATGACACATGGCTTATTTGGAAAACTGGCCCCTGAAAGCCCTGAAGCTCATATGAATGTTGTGAGTTGCTGAGGGGAAAAAAAATATAAAACTGAGGAATATTACTATGATTTAGGATCAAGATGGGTCTAAACTTTCGGGGGACACTTAAAATTAATGAGCTGTTGCTCATTAGATGCACTTTAAAAGTGAATTAAAATTTAAAAGCTTTCAATTTTCCCCCTCAGAGTCAGATGATAAACTACTGGGGGTATCCAAGTGAAGAGTATGAAGTTGTGACAGAAGATGGCTACATCCTGGGCGTCTACAGAATTCCTTACGGGAAGAAAAATTCAGAGAATATAGGTCTAGCCTTCTCTTCCTTCTTTTCCTTTCCCGTCTCTCCTCTTCCCTCTTGCCCCCTCCCCTTTCCTTCCTCTATCCCTCTCTCTACCCTTTTTTAAAAAAATTTTTCTTTTCCCTTCTCCAGAATTTAATAAATCTAGATCACGCTGGAAAAGCAACAACTAAGTTGTAATTTTAGTCTCTAGTCGATCACAATCAAGTCACTGAGACAGATGAGTAAATAAAATGATTGATATAATGTGGTAAATCCAGTCATTTTCCACAGGCAATTAAAATCCTGATTGAGGCCTCTAAGTCAGCTAAAGGAAATCAGGGGAAGTTACTTTCAGGCTTAGTAACTGGCCTGTGTCCCAGCGGAGAAAAAAAGAGTAGGACAGATTGAATTGTAGAGAGGAGGATGATGGGGAGGCAACTTGAGGGCTATTTTCTGAAGAGATAAAGGTCATTGTTTTTGCTGGTATTATCAAATTTTTTTACATTTTTTCTCATTATAGAAAAGCTGTGAAGAATAACTTTATTACTGTTAGTCACTTACATTCACATGCTGAAGCTCTTTAGAATATCATCTTAATACCATCGTTTAGATGTAAGTGATGTATATAAAGTGCACACATTTGAAGTGCACAACGTGGGATGGGGACGTGGCTCAGTGGTGGTGCACTTACCTAGCATAGCAAAGCCTGTGTATGATCGCCAGTAGAACAAAAAATATACAAATTAAAAAATAAAGTAGAATTTGATAAATGTTAGTACACGAAATACAAACACTTAAGAAAAAATAATAAAGATGTTCAAATATAAACTCAACCAAGAGAACACATTTAATTCTACCCACATGCCTATCTTACTGTAAGGAATAAGTTGTAAGGTTTTGAATAATCTCTTTCCTTAGGCACAAGACCTGTGGCATTTTTACAGCATGGTTTTCTCGCATCAGCCACAAACTGGATTACAAATCTGCCAACAAACAGCCTGGCCTTCATCTTGGCAGATGCTGGCTATGATGTGTGGCTGGGAAACAGCAGAGGAAATACATACTCCAGGAGAAATTTGTACTATTCACCAGACTCAGCTGAATTCTGGGCTTTCAGGTAAAGAAAGTGGATAATGCAAAAGGGACAATTCAAAATAAACATTGGCTTTTACAAATGGGGCCTCCTCGCTTTCCCATCTCGACAAAATCCATCACGTGACTCTTCTATACCCCTCATTCCAAAGTGAAGTTTTCATTCAAACTTGCTGCGATCTCAGTACAAATGTGGAGATCCCTGATTATGCACTTTTATTTTTATTTTATTTTATTTTATTATTTTATGTTTTGCTCTTTTTGAAGCAGGGTCTCCTAATACAACTAAAGCAATGAAGCTAGAAAATTCACTGCTTTTAGAACATTCGAAAGGGAGCATTACATAAATTAGGAAGATGTCAGAGCCCAGAGGGATGGAAGAACAGCAACCTGCATCATGAGCAAAGCACAAAATTAGGATACCTTGATGAGATTATCAAAGATATTATTCTAACACTTTCTTATGCTTTCCTCTTGGAAATGACTGATGGAGAAAGACGACAGATGAACATCTAGCTGACGTTGCTGAGGCACAAACATGCTTTGAGGGTTCTGAGAGCTGAGAGGAGCTCATTTGTTACAGGTGTAGTGAGGAAGAGGGAGAATGACACAAGAGAAGACTGTGGTTGCTCACAAGAGCCAGATCTGACAGGGCAGGGGGGCAATGGGGAGGATACTGGGACTCATTTCACATGCAATGTGAAACTATGAAAATAGTGAAATTGGACAGTTTTCATTTTCAGAAGATCATTATAGCTGATTTAGGAAAAATGTACTACAGAGATGAGATTCATATTAGATAACACTGGAATACAGAACAGAAATATTTACTGTATCTGACATTCCATTTCAGGGATGGAAATAATCCCACCTATAAATGTTATCCTGTTCTGATTAGATTGCACCTCTTATGCAGCATGTTGCCTTGTAGTTAAATAAGCCACACAAAGGTGGCTGGCACTGGCTAAAGTTTACAGCTAGTGATGTTTAAAGAGTCTAATTTTCCATTTCACAATTAGAATTAGAGCCTTAAGTATCAAGAAACTTATATTTTAGAAAATATAGAAGGAAATACATATTTCATTTTCTTTTGCTTTTTTCTTACAGCTTTGATGAAATGGCTAAATATGACCTTCCAGCCACAATAGACTTCATTGTAGAGAAAACTAAACAGGAGAAGATACACTATGTTGGTCATTCTCAGGGCACCACTATTGGTAAGGAAAGCATTGAGGCTGGGAAGGGTTCTTCTACATCACCCTCAGTGTCAGCATAGCCACTGATCTGCATACACTGTAGAATGTAATACCTACAATGACCCCAAGATACATAGCAAATTATTATTCTAATTCTGGAGATAGATAAATCAAATAGGGGAATACATAATTTGTGAAGGTAACATGGGTCACCACCAATGGGTCAAGAGAGTGATTCAGATACCAGTTCAGGCCATCTGACTCTCAAGTCAATACATTATAACCTCTCAGATTAATTTGTTCTCATTTGATCATGTTTATGGAGAATGGACCATTTGCTAAAATAATATAACAAAGACACTAAATTGAAATCTTACCTTTATAATACTATACTCTAGGTAGAGTGACATAAAAATAGACTAAAAAGTAGTATGCAGTATACCAAACCATGGTAATATTATGGAGAATATATATTATAGAGTATCTTAAAGTGTCTGAAAGAGCTTTGAAGCCATTTTGGGTAGTGAACCCCAGCAAACACCTCCAGGATAAAGACATAGAAGGGATCACAGGGGGAGTTACATACATGAACGATACACTGATGTTTCCCAAAGAGAGAAGAGTAAGTGTAAAATATTCAAACATGCTCAAGATCATGTTCAAAAAACAACAGTGAAGTTGCTTATCATAGGGAAAAGTCAGATTAAAATTAAGACAGTGTGAGAAAGAAACAGAAATTAAATTGCAATTGTTGGAAAGGACAGGCTGTTATAAAACAGGAGAGGACACATAAGCACACACCCTCATCATTGGCTCTTTGCACTATTTCAGGTTTTAGTGCCTTTTCTACCAATCCCACACTGGCTGATAAAATCAAGAGATTTTATGCATTAGCTCCAGTTGCCACTCTGAAGTATGCAGAAAGCCCTTTGGTAGAACTTAAACATATTCCTCTATTTCTCTTGAAGGTATGTGATTCCCTTTAACCGATTGAATCTAAGGTACGAATTATCAATAGATTTCAAAGTGATTAAAGTGGCTAAATGTATCTTCAGAAGGAATAGGTTCATATCCCAAAGTTAATATCCCTGACCTTCACATGTCTGTGCTATGTATGCTTCATAGCTTTAAGATGTATGAATCCCCTAAAGCCTCTGAGATCCCCTTTTACTCCTTTGTTCTGGATTAGCTTTGCAAGTGCTGTCAATGCATCTTTCAAGGATGTTTCACTGGCCAAGCACTCTACACAATTGTGTCAAGCTGGCAATTCCACTCCTGGCATGGGAGAGGGTACTAAAAGCACAGAAAAATCATCAAAGAAGCCTTGCAAGGGCCGTGAAAACTTGGAAGGGGAGAAAAAGAAAGAAAAAGACCAAGAAAAAGAAAGAAGCCAAAGAAATTACTGAATGAGCAAAGGAAATCTTTGAGACCTTTAATTGAATGCTCTTGTGTGTCTTACGTGCTCTTAAGATTTGGAAATCCCACAGGGCAGCAGTGTGGATTGCAATAAACCGTAAAAAGTGCCTTATTGAATTGGCATACTTGATCATGAAATAACACTTACTCTATTGTTTGACAGAGAGACAGACACACCCACACACATGCATTGTTTCCTGTAGGAGAATGATTTAGCCTCGGGATATAAATAGGGTGGCAATATTCTTCCTTCTGTGGTGTTGTGTTATTTCTTTTCATTCTGTATTAGTTATGCATGTCTAAAATGAAAAGACTGCATGCATCAACTCATTTCAAGCCTTTTGTGCGAAACCCAAAATGTTGAGATGCCTGTGACTGTGTCTCTTGATGCCCTGATCCAGAACGTATTTCCTTCCCGTGCTCAGAAAAACAGAGTGCTTGAAAGAAGGCATTGAGAACTCGAGCCACAGGCATAGGTTAGAATTCTAGGAACAGCCTAGTTCCAATTAGCCAAAATGCCATTTCCTAGCTTCATGTTTCCTCATGTATAAAACTGAAAGTAAAATGTCTCTGTCCTCAAGTCAATTGTGGCAGAGAGCTAAAAGTTTTCTGAACCTATGGCTCGAAGTCAGCAGTTTCCCCTCCCAATATTTTCCACTGTTTATTGTTGAGATCATTGCGTGTTGGTTTATAATTATGATAGCCTCCCATGTTGTTTCATGATTTTATTGTGTCCCTTATTACCCCAGCTAAATTGTGCTTTGTCTTCTTCCTCTGCTTAGTGCCCCACAGTCTTTAATGCAGCAGCACACAGCCACTGGTGGTGTCTGCCTTTTGTTTCACTTCATTGTGAGAATTAAATGAGAGAAAGAAGGTGGCAAAGGGTTCCTTGGGTAAAGGCGCTTGCTGCCAAGCCTGACAACTTCAGTTCGATCCCCAGAACCCACAAGGTAGAAAAACACAGACTCCCACAGGTTGTCCTCTGACCTGCCATGGACCTCATGCACAAACACACACACACACACACACGCACACACACACACACACACACACACACACACACACATTTTTAAATGAGAAATACAATCGGAAATTCTTAATATATAGAAATAAGATAGTATAATCACACCTGCATAACTAAATTCAATAATTAATGAGTCTTTTGGGAACTTGGCTGCTCTCACATGGTAATGATGCTTTTATTTTTCAGCTTATATTTGGTAACAAAAATTTCCTTCCACACAACTTCTTTGATCAATTTCTTGGTACGGAAGTGTGCTCACGTCAGTTCCTGGATCATCTTTGCAGCAATGCTTTATTCATCTTCTGTGGGTTCGACAGGCAGAACTTGAACACGGTTTGTACGTCTTATGGTTTCTATTCAGAAGACTTTTAGAAACACCTTTGACTGTCTTATCATTATCACTTAGAAATGGTATTTCATGCCAAGTGTAGTAGCATACACTTTTGATCCCAGCACTTGGGAGGCAGAGGCAGGCAGAACAACCTGGTTGACTTGGGAGTTCCAGGCCAGCTGGGGCTACAGGGAGACCCTGGCTCAAAAAGACTAAAAAAGAAAAGGAAAGAAAAGAAAAAAAAAGTAAAGAAATGGGTCTTCACAAGAATTAGGAGTAGCCTCAAAATTTTGCCCATGCATTGTGCTAAACCCAAGAGAAATTACAAGCTACTGGTCCATTCCCGTCTTGCCTCTTTCTGCTCTTTCATCATCCCAGTTCTCCCTAAAATAAATAGGAGCATTCAGAGGAAAATAACACCATGATTCATTTGTGACCACCTAAATTACTGGCATGGTATTTCAACTCTGTGATGGAAAGGACTGAACCTCGTGTCTGGGCAGGATCTTCTGAGGAAAATGCCTAGGCATTAAAGAAGCATTATAAATGCTTGTAATGGTGCTAGTCATTCTTATTAATTTTACAAAGTACATTTCAGAGAAACTGTAAGCACCTTGCCCATATTTTGATCTGCATTTTTACTCACTTTGCATTGAGTTGGAGTTTTAAGAGAAAGTTCAACATCATAAAGCACTTAAACGTATGAATTCCTGCCAGCCTAAATTTAAATCTTTTTCTTCATAACTTTTCTTCAATTCCTTTGTCTTGGTTTCTTCACCCACAAAATATGTTACTGGGAATTTCAAATCAACTAAGATACATGTAGAACATGTATAAGCCATATAGTACATAATCATAGCACATAACTTTTGCTATTACTGTCACACCTCTGTTGTTTGTTTTGTGTTTCAAAGGACAGAATCAAGGACCGCCTACATATTAGGAAACTGCTCTACCACTGAGCTGTATATTTTTAAATTTTTATTTTGAGACAGGGTCTCACTAAGTTTCCCATCAGTCATTCTATAATTGAGGCATGTCTTGAACTTGAAATCCTCCTGATTCAGCCTCCCAAGTAGCTGGAATTACAGGTTGTACCACCAGTCCTGGTTTTAGTTCATACCTCTGAACTAAGAAAATGAAGTTCATTGGTAAGGATAGGACTAGTCTACAATTTCTATGCACACTGGGAATACAGAATGAAAAGGCATGCATGGCGCTTGGCTTCAGTTTTCAGTTTTCAGTTCAGTTTTCTTGTGATTGTCTCTACACATACCTAAACATGTATATATAAGTTCCTACTTACATAGTAAATAAGAGCCTTCTCTTCTTTTAATTGTGTAGCTGTTGGACATTCTGTGTATGGAGTAAAACAGAGCATCCTGTCTTTATCACATCAAGAAAAGTGCTAGGTTGATTCATGTGTTGTATCAATTAGCAGCTTCTGAGAAAGAGAAAGCAATAGTAACATACAGATGCAGAGAACAAAGAAAGTTAGAGCTCTTGTCTTCTGTATGCTGCTTATATAAGAGAGATTTCTATCCCTGTGGTGATACTTCATTTGATATCATCACAGTCTAAGACCCACTATGGATTGGCCTGTGCAGTCTGGAAAGGGGTCACGGGTCTGAGCAAGATGGATTATGGCTCAAATAAAATGTTATAATTAAACATATAATTATATATATAAAATAATTTCATACATATTAAAATTATGCAAAGCAAGTTCTCTGTGTGTAATATTTAATCTTGTGCACTTTGGCACTGGACAGAAAAGAACAGGAAGCTGAGAATTTAGATTTAGAGACTTAGATGAATCTTTTTGTCCTCACACTGTTGCTATTTGTGTGATGCTGACATTTCTCCAAACTTCTTTGAGTCTCAAATCCCTCTTTAAAGAAGTGGAGATCATAAGCCCCTCTACCTCTTGTCTAAAGAGTGAATTGTTTAAAAGAGGCTGTGTCCTTTGCACATTCTAAACTGACATACAATGTACTGCACATACGTCCTTTGAAGGGTTTCCTGAAATATTTGATCTGAATCAGAAAACGTAGGTCTTCATTGCCTTTCAGAAACCATATATATAAGTCTACATCTACATGTATGTGCTTGTTTGATTTCCAGAGTCGATTTGATATATATCTAGCACATAATCCAGCAGGAACTTCTGTTCAAGATATCCTCCACTGGGGCCAGGTATCATTGCTTCAACATTATTAAAATTGACTTTGTGTAACTGAATCTTTGTATTTTACCTAAATAATATTCTTAAAGCATTCTTTAAAATGTTCCTGCCAGGCAATATTTCTGTACATGATTTCCCATAGAAACTATTAAGCCATGTTAATGAAAATGTTTTGAAATATGTGTTATGAGTAACAAAGAAATGGAATAATATTATGACTTGCCATGCAAAAAGCATTTAAAAACAAAGCTGAATTCACACTTATCTGAGATGATTGATCATTTTATTGTTTGGAATAAGAAACTATTTTCCCAATAATTGGGTGAATTGAAAATAAACTACTTGGACTAGTTTGAATTTTGCTTTTCAAGTAGAAGCAAGAATTTTTACCTCTTTCCTTTAAATTTTTCTTCATTAGGCCGCTAAGTCTGGGATATTTCAAGCTTTTAACTGGGGAAGCCCGTATCAGAACATGTTACACTACAATCAGGTAAGCTCCTTAACTTAACTTTAAAATTATTCACATCCTTTTTTTTTTTTTTTTTTGGTCTTTTTGAGACAGGGTCTCCCTGTAGCCCCAGCTGTCCTAGAATTCACTATGTAGACCAGGCTGGCCTTGAACTCACAGAGCCTCCCAAGTGCTGGGATTAAAGGCGTGTGCCACCACGCCCAGCTAAAATTGTTCACATCCTAAAAGACAAATAAAACATAAATGTTTGAAAGAAGGCTGTGACAACCATGTTTCTGTTTTTCAAAGCAATGTCAGTGCCCAGTTTCTCATTCTCCTGTGACAATGCTCTGGAAATGTGCCCTTAGAATAACACACTGCAGCATGTGAGGGATTCTCCAGAAATTAACCCACCCCTTGTCATTGCACAGACCTGCTTTGTAACCCAGCCCCCAGCACACTGTTCCCTTCTTTCCAAAATGCAACTGGCGGATACAATAAGCTAATAATTCCAACCAAATATGAGCCAGAGCTAGGATCTCTGGTTTTCTCATATGTTACCCTCCCCTTTGTTGAAAGCAGAGGAATAATACCATGGGAACACATTCCTTTGTGGAAGGGAAAGATGGTGTGCTTTCAGGTCAAAGCTGAAAATATTTTTCAGCAGAAAGGTACCTTGTAATGCTTACATATACTATAGAACAAAGAACCCGGATTCTGGAGTTCATCTGATTGGCAGTCAACATAAATTTTCACAATAATTCATAGACGTGGGAAATTATTCACAGAATTTATAAGCAGAAGCACTTGCTCAGGGTAAACTCTCAGGTTATCATTGCTTAACTTTGAGCAAAGCAAGTACCTATAATACTTTGCAAACTTCCCTTCCTATCCATCCATCCTCCATTTTTCCTTTCGAGTAGTAGATAAAGAACTCTAATTGTCATTAGCTGCTGTGAATCCACATTTAGAAGGAGGGCATGTTTGTATAACAGTATTCTGTGTACGGAGGAGTCCTAGCCTACTAGTTTTACTTCTTTGATATCTTCAAAGATGTTTTCAGAATACAATCAATCAACCCACAAAGCACAGTCTTGCTTAAAATCTACGTGTCTGTTGAGCTTTCCTGCTGCTAACCAGAGGAATTAATTTTAGGAGGCCAAGTGAAATGTTGAGGGCCAATCCCCATGTACCCTTCGACTGAGTTGATAGCACTTCAGACCTATTTATTGAATTCACTGACATTAATTTGACAGTCAAAGATAACATCTAGAAATTTTTTGTACAATGGTATGTAAGTAAAAAAAAGTACATTTGTAATTCTGGATATTATTCTTTCTTTGTCCTTTTCTCTAGTGTTTGAGGGAATAAAAAAGAAAGCATAAATTACTGGAGAATAAGGTGATGAAGTGTTTTGCACATGTAAGTTAATACTTTCACAGGTGAAAATACAGAAATGCTAAATGCATTAGATTAGTGTTCTTTTGTCAATGCATTTTTTATTGAATTTTTGTGCATTTCATATAATACATCTTAACCATATTTAGGCCCTCTCCCCCATCTGCACCCCCATTACTTCCCCTAGATTTCTTACATTCTGTCATACATGTTAAGACTTATAGAATCAACTTTGTGTATCCAGATTTCACTTAGTGCAAATTCCTCCACTGGGGTCTAGTCAACCTATCTAGAGTCTGTCCCTTAAAGAAGATCAGCTTTCACTCAGCAGTAATCAGCCGCCAATAGATCTTCAGCTAAGGTCAGGGACTGCTGCCCATTTCCCCATTCATTTCTCTCTTTTTTTTTTTTTTTTTTTTTTTGGTCTTTTTGAGACAGGGTCTCCCTGTAACCCCAGCTGTCCTGGAACTTGTGCATGCTGACACTATTGCTGTAAGTTCACATGAACAAGTTTCCAGAGGCCTGGAAAGCTCTGCTTCCTTATGATCATACAACAAGCAACTTAGAATCTTTCTGCCCCCTTTTCCACAATAGTCCCTGAGCCAAAGGTGGGTGAGGTTTAACGTTGGTCTGAAGTGAGGGGCCACACCTCTCCAAGGCCAGTTTCTCAGTGAGCTCAAACAGAACATGATGATTTACTAACATAATGTACTTTACAGAAGTCAACACCAATGCCGTGCATGGTGGCACACGCCTTTAATCTCAGCACTTGGGAGGCAGATGCAGGTGGATCTCTATGACTATGAGTTCAAGGCGAGCCTAGTCTACATAGTGAGTTCCAGGCAGGCGAAGGCTACAGGGAGACCTTGTCTCAAAAAGACAAAAAACAAAATGAACTCCCCCCAAAAAACAATAAAAAAAATTAGAAAAAGAAGTTGACACAAAGCAAAATCTAATGGCTCAGGACCACTTGGAGAGCTCATGCTTCAGAAAGGTAGAGATAATCTGCCACAGTTGGAATCTAGTCAAATCCTGCCTGAGAGTTGGCTCAGGGGGTAAAATGCAGAGCTGCTGACTCAGTCTTCACTGTCTTTATTTTAACATAAGTCCTAGCTGACCCATTAGAGTTTGAGAAACACCAATCATAAATGAATTGTGCTCACTTTGCTCCTTGTGTAAATTTGACTTTCGAGAAGCAATCATTGTTATAATTGATTTATAAAATGTTACATAGTCCATACTACAGATAGGTACTGGGCTTTGAACTATGGTTGTCTAAACTCTGGGTCTTCCTCCTCTGTTTTTTTAGAACACACCTCCTTTCTACAATGTGTCAGACATGACTGTGCCAATTGCAGTGTGGAATGGTGGAAATGACATTTTGGCCGACCCCAGAGATATTGGCATATTGCTTCCCCAACTCCGCAACCTCGTTTACCATAAGGAGATTCTTCCTTACAACCACTTGGACTTTATCTGGGGAATCAATGCCCCTCAAGAGCTTTACAATGAAATTGTTTCCATGATGGCAAAAGATTAAATGTCATTGCAGACTTGAAGATTCATCTGCTCGCATTTCCAAACTACTCTCTTCTCTCATGTGTAGCTTTCTGCAGTGCTGAAAATGAAACGCTTATTTCTGTAGTTTTGACTTTAGAAATATATATGGCCTCAAAAAACTTCTCACTTGTCATTTTGAATTTTTTAATTTAAAGAAACTCAATTTTTCATTTGGAAATTTGTCCTAAAAACACTTGAGAGAATACATTATTTGGGTGGGGTAAATTTCTCTTTGGATAATCTCAAAATTCTCTTGTAAACTCAATTTAGGAGCCGTGAGCCTCTAATGCTGCCCAAAGACAGCCCTGGGATTAAGTAATGATTCTTCTTAAGTGTGCTTAACATTGGGTAAACAGCTTTCAATCACCATATTACTATTATGGATTTTAGTCTCCCCATCTGCAAACTGAGGATGTTACTTGCTTTGTTACATGCTGAACTCCATACGAAATCCAGCTGGAATGGACACTCGACTCAGCAGGGGTGGAAAGTCAGGAAACAACCCCAACATTGATTCAGGGCATGGCAGATGAACGGTGGGCTTCATCACTCTCATTCTGCCTCATTTCCTTGGGTCTCATCAACAAGAGTCAACTAACCAAGCTATTTTAGACGTCACTGCCAATGTCCTAGTAACTGTAAGATTAAGAAACATTCCATTGACATATGACCCAAAACATATGACATAAAGCTGCCAACAGTTGGCGGAAAAAAAAAAAAAAAGGTTCCAAACTTATAAAATTGCCCAAATATACCATACTTAGGAGTTTTATTAACACACTCCAAATTGTGATGTGAAATTCTATGCAATTAAGCATTTTGATTCCTATTTTTTCTTCTGGTAGGGTTTTAATATAAAAAGTATAAATGAAACAAAATTGAGATAAAATCTTGTTCCCAGCATAATGTGCAGAACATAAAGAAACTTTATCAAAAAAAACCTCTTAATATTTATTATGGTGTCCTGTCCCACATCCTTAGTTAAGAATCTTGAAGCTTTCTTACAATTTCTCCTTTTAAAGAGGGAAATTTTAATATTTCAGTGAAAGCTGTTGGACCCCTTCAGCAAACTGGCCTGAGGCTCTCAGTGGATAGTCAGTGAAAGATATTCAGGGTGGTACAGCCAGTTAAGAACTCAGTTATATCCATACTGTCTCAAGAAAATCCCCATCAGTACATTGTTACGGAATTGGGCTTTTTCCAGCTTTCTTTCCTTTAGTCTGTATTCAGCCGGGCAGTTTTGATTTTGGTCTCTGGACACAAATAACTGTCATCACATCTGCTCCCACAACAGCTTCGCTGATGTCCCTCATCTGCTAATTGGAATAGTGGGCCCATCAGCCAGTGTTCCGGGGTTAATCTACATATGCTTTATTTAATCATCCCTTGGGTAAATCTCTCATCATATAAAGCTCAATAATATCAGGCCTAAGTTTATCATTCTCACTTCTCCAAGTCAACAAAAGTCAAAGAAATGAAGTTTTTTTGACCACAGGGGAATGTGGCTTTGGAGTCAATGTGCCTGGTCTCTCTTTTTCTCAGTGTATAAAAACTTACATCTATTTAGTTAAAATCATTTAATGAACTCCTTTATAGTCATTACTCGGTTTCCACTGTTATATCCAATCCCATTTCACCTTTGACTCTAGTCACCTTCCCCTTCCTATAGTGGAAGTGAATATTAGACATCACATAGCTCGTTCAAATGTATTTCAGGGGGGGATTTTTAAAAGATAAGATTTCTCCTTATTTAATTTTATGTCTTATAGGGTTTATACTGAGTACAATATTGTATAACTGTAGTAATTTCAACTGTAAACCTAAAAATGTACAGCCAATTTTGTAAGAGATGCAGCCTAGCTCAGAAAATTGTTATTGAATATGTCAATGCTGATGTAATGAAATGCTTCTTCTAAGTACGTGGTGATTAAAAAAAAAACACCTTTTTTAAAAAAAAGATAAGGTTTCTTTTTAAAAATAATGATACCATAATCATTTCAAAACCTTTTTAATGTTAAGACATTCAGCCAAAGTTCAAATGTCTAATTATTTCATAAATGTTGATCTGTTTAAAATGGAAAATACGATCTATGCCATCTCCTTAGATTTCTTTCTCTCTCCCTCTCCTTCTTCCCTCCTTCCTTCCTTCCTTCCCTCTTCTCTCCCTTAGCCCTTTCAGTTTTCTGTTGCTGAAGCAACTATTGTGTATGTTGTAGTTTTAGACTGCTGAGATTTGCTGATTAGATCCCAGTAGTTGCACCTACACTTCCTATTTCTCAGAACTTAAATCTTCTTAACTACAACACTGCTGGGACTTTGAGGCAGACTTTTTTCTTAGCTGTGTGACTGTCTTGGGAATTGTAGGAGGTTCAGCAGTATGTCTGGACTCTACCCACTAGAGTACGGCCAGCAGTGCTCACTCAACCAGAGTTGGGATCACAAGTGTGTCTCCTGGGGCTGGAGAGATGGTTTGGTGGTTAAGGGCACTGGCAGCTCTTGCAGAGGACATGGGTTCGATTCCAAACATCCACATGGTGACTAACAACTGTCCATAAATCCAGTTCCAGAGGATCCAACACTTTGATCTCTGTGAACATTGTACAACATGGGTGCACTTACATGCATGCAGGCAATACACTTATACAATTAAAATAAAATAATCATAAAGTATTTTAAAAATTAAAAAAAAAACAAATGTATCTCCTGACATAGCTAAAAATATCACCTAGCGTGCAAAACTGTCCATCTTTTCAAGTGGAGAACCACTCACATAAGTTATGACTTTAATCATATTAAGAATCTTAAAATTCCTTCATAATGAGACTTTTATTTTTCCATCTACTATAATGTAGTCTCTGTTTCTTCAGATGTCAAGAATTTTGTGGACAAAGTTTTCAATGACCAAATATTTCAAATTATATATGTTTAGAAATTTATTTCACTAGACATGAAAATGTTTTGTAGTCACATCAGAATTACTACAAATCTAAAAGAATTTTGTTTCTAGAGATCAGAAATTTAGCTATAATAAAATAAACTCCATTGTTATGACTGGGAAACGTAGCTAATGACACGACGGCAAAAACAGCTACTTGAAATTCCGTTTTCTTTTCACAACCTGCTCTAGCCAGGACTTCTCAGGAACTACGAGCTTACACATGTGCACCCACTAGAGGGCGAGGCAGATTTGGCGACTGATTCCCTACCTCCCCGGTTGGGAGCATTTACTCTAATCAAACCTATGATAATTGTACTATTTTAACTATGTTATCCAACTTCTTAGGCTTCGCATTAAAGCTTATGGAGCCCACAGGGTGGTTTACTGCTGCGTAGGGAGGGGAAAAGCAGAGACTAGCTGGCCGAGTGGTCTGTCCCTCAGTTCTCCACTACCAGGGCAGAACTTAATTGCAATTGAGTTTGCTTCCCCTGTTGGATGCCTTTGGGGTACACCACTCAGTTTATAGTGAGTGGAAGGAACCTAGCCGGGCCCACAGGACACAGAGTTGATCGCCAGCAGCAGCGGCTTTCAGCACACAAGAAAGCCAAGCTTCTGAGATGAGTGCGGCCTGATGGTGATGGCATAATCAACTGCCTTCAACCTGCAAGTAACTAGTGAGAAAAGAGAACTCTAATCTACTCTGTGTATGACCTAATTCCCCAGACACTAATGAATTCTAGCACCAGAGGACCTGAAAAGAAACTTGACCTCTTTTCTTATGTTATTATTTGTTTAGTTTTACAATCGTTAAGTGTTTTTTTTTTTTTTTAATTGTTGATAGTGAAGCTTGAACCTAGGGCCTTGCATATGCTAGGTAAGCACTCTACCAATTATTTAACTTCTCAGCCTTTTTTTGACTCTTTGTTTGGAGACAGAACATCACAAATTTGTCCAGGCTGTCCTTTAACTCAAGCCATTGCCCAGGCAGGCCTTGAACTTATGATTGTTCCTCTCTCATTTCCCTAGGAGCTGAGTTTACAAGTCTGCACCACAGGTCCAGCCTTATATTAGTTTATTTAGTAAATCTTACATGTTTCTAATTTTTATTCCTCTTACTTTATTCCAATTTGTTTCTCTTTCTTCTATAATCGATTTTTTTAAGGTTCTTTTTATGTGTGTGTGTGTGTGTGTGTGTGTGTGTGTGTGTGTGTGTGTACAAGTGTGCTGGTACCAGGGGAGGCCAGAACATGGCATGGGATCCTAGGGAGCTGGAGTTGCTGGCAAGTTGCAGCAAGTGTCCTTAACTGCTGAGCCATTTCTCTAGTCCCTGTAATATGACTTAATTTCTTGTTTTTGCTTACTCCTTTTAGTATTGTTTTCTTTTTTCCTATTTTCTTTGCTTTACTTTAAACTTGCTTCTTTATTTTTCCCCTTTAAACCATTCTCCATAATTTAGTTATTTTGTTATCATCTTTACCTTCATTGATTTTTGACTTCATAATTTATTATACATTATTTTTGCCCTTTTCAATAGTTATTAGTGCTATACCAGTTGCTTTTAATTGGTTTTCATTAAATTTCTCTATCTGGTTTGTTTTGGTGTTGTGGATATTATGGTGAATTGTCTCCTGAGTGGCACTGGCCATTGAGACCTCAAGAGGCAGCTGATCACTAAGAAGACTCCCACATAAAAAAGAGACATTCATTTCAACAGATGTGAAAATTATATCATAGAAACAAGAAATGTGAGCATGCCAGGCAACATGAGCTCAATAAAAGTTCATAAATTTTCAGTTACTTAATCCAAAGATTCTGAAATGGTTGAAATGATGAATAAAACAATTCAATCCAGCTCTAAAAATCAATTTAGTTTTGTTTGAAAAAAAATCAGTGACCAATAGAGGATTAGGTAAACAAATGCATTGAAGTAAAGAACCAATTGAAGATGACTTGGAGGAAAAATTTGGCAACTTGAAAAGATATTCAGCAGAGAGACAGAGATTGGGGGGGGCAGGGGAAGAGGCAAATGTTAGAAATGAAGA